ACACACACACAAAGCAGTCGGCGATGAAACCAACCTCACGTCGTCTAGTGACGTAGTCAGTCACGCGCTGGGCGTGTATTGCAATAAAAAAAAATTTAAAAAACGTCCAAGTCCAAATTTGAGTTTTCGGAAACATTTTCGTGCCAATCCATCGTTCTGATCTATCATCCATCCATTCACTCCCAACAGCCCAAAACCAAAGCATTTACGTCCAAAGCTCCAATCCTAAACCTTTTCTACTTTTCTTCTGATCTTACCACCATCTCATCCCCGAAAAAAAAACACACCCCCATTCATCTCACCTACACGTCATTTCCTACATTGTACCCACAAATTCCGAAAACAATTTTTTAAAAACAACTTCAAGTCTAAAATCGAGTTTTCGGAATACGCATTAAATCTACTTTTCGACCAACATTTCCACCCAAGAACTTCACCTCTACAGAAAGAAAGAACAGAGGGGGGGGGGTTCAGGATTTCGCTACCCCCTCTTTAAAAATCACATCCACACGACATCACCCCGTATATCCCCCCTATACTATACCCCACAAACGCTTCTCGGCGAAAAGTCCGAAAAACAAATCCAAACTCCGACCCGAACACAAAAATCGAAACAAACGAAATCTCTCCATTTTCGACCGTTTCAATTTTATTCCGAAATCCAAATCGCAAACAACAACACCAAACTCCGAAATCCAAACGCCATTTTCGGAACAAACGGCCCCCAAAATTCCGAAAAAAAAATAAATTTCGGACAAAAACCACAAAATCGAGTTTTCGGAAACACAACAAAACTTCCGAAAACTACCAAAAAACACCAGACTTTTCGGAAAAAAAATTTGGACTCGTGCGACCCGAATCCTAGTTTTTTTTGGTATTGTGAAATTTCTCCCAAAAAGATAAGAGATGATCTAGATGTTTGTTCTATTTTGCCAACTTTCTCTAACTTTGAGACCCGAATCCTAGTTTTTTTTTGGTATTGTGAAATTTCTCCCAAAAAGATAAGAGATGATCTAGTGTTCTATTTTGCCAACTTTCTCTAACTTTGATGGTGATTGTTTTACACACATTTCACACCTGTTACTGAAGATTTTGTAAAGAAACTTATTTTAGAGACTCTCGAATCTTTAAAATTTTACAATTTTTTTCGTTTTCTTGCCAACTTTTCAACACTCGTAATTCTATAAGAATTCTACAATCTGATGTGGTATTGTGAAATAAATTTCTGGCGCATCTGAGGGTATCTGTGATATGGCTCTGAATCCCCCAGTAGAAGCACGCGGACTCGGCGAAAAATTTTTGTGTGTCAAGTTTTTGTTCTTGAGTTCCCCACAACTTTCCAGGAAAGTAGCCGTCCTAAACCTGACGTTACATCAGGTTTATTTTTAGATGTAACGTCTAAAACCTAACGTTACATCAGGTTTATTTTTAGATGTACGTCCTAAAACCTGACGTTACATCAGGTTACTAGGATTTGTCTTCGTTTTCCCCTAGAACGTCATTGAATTTAATCAGATTAGATCTACTATCGAGACAATTCATCAGCAACTGTAATGCGACTGGTAGAATCAGAAACATAATAAGACCGAGGAACAAAACCAAATTGTTAGATTATGCCACACAGCATAAAATCAAACCCACGACTCCACCAATCATTGGAAAACAATCCGCTGTCACCAGCAGAAAGCCTAGGGGTCGATAAATCGAGACCTGCATGCATTCTAGACTCTGGGATACGTTTCAATAAATTGAAACATTTCACCATCCGTCGCGGGGACGTAATTCTGCGATTCACCACCCAGATTATGGCTACTGCAGAAAAACCGCCCTAGGAGGTTACGTACTGTAATGCAACGCATAGGAATCGTGGTGTTTCGTTCCTCAGTTGATCATGTCTTCATCGACCAGTCGGCCGATACAGTAGCAGCCGATGCATCGGCAAGTGAAAAAGTTGATCAATGATGTTTGGTAATGTATTCTTCGTGCCTTGGGTATTGGAGGAATGGGCGTTTTGGTGAAGAACATCATAACAAGCCAGAACAAGTCTATGTAAAAAAAAATAAAACAAACTGGAAAAAAAAGTTGCTGGATTCTTAGACACACAAATAGAAAAAGTTGAACGGAAAACGAAAAAAAGTTGACGACTTGCGCAATTTTTGCCAAATGTTTCATACAAAGTTGGGAAAAAATTTTAGTTCCCCAAAAAATTAACAAAATCCAAACAAAATTGGAAAAAGTTGAAAGGAAAAACTAAAAAAGTTAAAGACTTTCGTAATTTTTACCAAATATTTCATAAAAATGGAAAAAACTAAAAATATTCATAAATGAAAAAAATTAGAAAAGTCAATAAACTTCGCACAAATGGGAAAAAACTAGAAAACTTTACAAATCTAAACTACCACAAATATTTGGCAAAGTCCAACTAAAGTATCAAAAACAGGTAAAACTATCAACTATTTAGAGCTAAAACGGTTAAAATAAGTAATCTAATCTATAATAATTTAAACAGGGATTCCCCGTTTTTCAGTCCGATAGCCCGCAATGTCAGCTACCGACTGAATCGCCCAAACCGATGCATAGAATGTTGTACAGTTGAGTTTTTCGCAATTGATGGAACGCTCGGGTGTGACGTCGTCGACATGTTGTAACATCATTTTTGCCCCTTGGAACATCATTTTGTGCCTTTGAAAACTGCGCGTTGAACACGATTTTGTGATTTCTGCCTCAGTTTCTCTGAGTTTGACCACCTGTAGACAGTTTGAACTTCATTTTCTGATTTTGTCCGATCTTTATGTGAAAGTTTGAAATTTGCTAAATTTCTCTGATCTTGACCGATCTGATTCTGCTTCACTTTTCTGATTTTGTCCCTCAATTTTTGTGCGAAAGTTTGAGATTTGTTAAATTTTCTGCGAATCTGTAAACCGAGATCTGATTTTGTGGATTTTTATCCGAGGGGCGTTGTGATTTATCCGAAAACTCGATTAGTAAAAAAATTTCAAGTTTTAACCCATTCCACCCAGATGTCTAGGCCCATATGACAGCTTTCAACAACTTTGGTGTTGGCGGGTGAACCAGTTTCCGTTTATACTCACCTAGACTGTTTGCGGACGAACCCACTAGAGACGTTTTGAGGGTCTTAGCAGGTTTCTAACCGCACCAGTCGGCCGGACCCGGGATTTGAACCCCGCGACCACTCAGCCTGGTTTGGGTTAGTAATCTAACGCTCTTACCAACTGAGCTATCAAGTCCGGTGATGATCAGGGCAACAGTTAATGCTATATATGTATGGTAAAAACTGGTAACCATTTCTTTTCAAGTTTTCGGGAATGATTTTTATTCTATATTCCGAAAACTCGCATTTGAACTTGGGTAAATTTTAAAAAATGGATCCAAATCCACAAAGTCTCATAATGCAAGTATATGTCAAACAGTAGAAACAAATGGTCAAATTGAAGGGTGGAATGCGTCATTGATAAGAAAAGAACGTCATTGATAGAAACATAAATAGCAATTGCGTGTATGTTTTTCAGAACAGACAAGATGCAGCAATCTACAAGGAAAGTCGTGCGCACCATCGAAAGCGACATGATACCCACTTCCTCGAGAGTAGTTTTTGACTGGGACAATACTCTCAAAGTCATAGACAGGTCGTCATCTGAAAAGAAAATAGTCAGCAGAGTCACCAAAGACTTCTTGACGCACTTGAAAGAAGAGAAGGGCTGCGAATTGTTCATAATCAGTGCCATCAGACCATCACAAATGAATATCGACACTCTTCTCATGGAGGTGGACAGACTAGGTCTCACAGACTGTTTTTGTTCTAAACGTACCGCATTCGGAAAGAGGGAAGAAGTGCGAAAAGGGGACTATCATTGGGTACAGGAAGGAAACATTATCATCTGTGGCTATGACAAGGCCGAGGTCTTTAAAGCTGTCGTGGAAGAAAAAGAAGAACGACCGGCTGTGATATTTGATGATGAAGAAGTCAACATTGTTAATTTCAGCAATGTCGTTGCCGGGAGTCTGTGTTACCATGTCGTATAACTCTCTTATCAAGTCAAAATTATTAGAGGAGAAGGAAGTTTTTTGAACGGATCCGACACGAAACTACGGGTCTTGTCAAATAAATACAACAAATATGGCTAAAAACGTCGCCATCGTCGTCGTTCTACTCTTAATGATCGTAGCTGCTGTTTCTGCTACTTCGTGCGCTACTACCACTACAACGCCTCCGTCTCCTCCTTCTCGTACCATCGCGGCTCCGTGCGGTAAGTTTTTGTGCGGTGGTCGTTGTAGATCCTTCATAGATTACCTTTACATATATTTCAACATTACCGCGCAAACCGACATGAGAGCCTTTAGAGAAGAAGTGAACACGACCGTCAAACTAGCTCGGAATCTCACGAGAGAAACGCTTCAAGTCATCCATGTGATCGTCGATAACAATCTGCTAGTCGAAGATGAAATAGCCCTGGTGGAGAACGCGACTTTGATTCCCACTGCTTATTTCAACGTAACCGATGTAGACAATCAGCTCTCGGACGAACAACTCCAACGAGATTATCGAGACGTTTCTACGTTTATGGTCTTTTTACACGGCATGGAACAAATAACCAATGTCTTCTATTCGCTTGTTGACGTTTACAACGCCGTGTCCACTTCTTCCTTCAAACTGCTGTGCGTTCTCAGATCTATGATGATTCAACGCAGAGTTTCGCCTTCTACCTTGGTCACTTCGTCTATTATACCGTCATATATACGCGATCACCCGTCTATGAAACATCGTCTACTACGCCATTATGTCGTGCTGAGAGATGGGTCTACATATTTCCAGTCCATGAGTAGATATTACCAAGACGTACTGGCTAAAATTCCCTAATGACGTTATGGATGGATATACGTACACCTCCCCACTTGGTTAGCGTCATTTACACAAAGAACAATGGAAGGAGAAACAACAGAAGAACGTGTCAAACGTCTCAAAATGTATGGAAGTCAAAGCAATGCTTTTCCGTATAGACCTCGTACGGACGACGATTACGTAGTATGGGGGGTAGAAGAAAAACAAGAAAGTGATGATAATGAAGTAGAAACAGAAGACTACATGTACTACTTCGAGAAAAAGGATGAACAAACAGACACAGAAGAAGAAGATGAAGAAGAAGAATTTAGAAGAGAATTGGCGGAAACGTTCGATCGGGCAGAAAAAGAAGAAATCAGACACGAATATTTGATTCTGGAAATCAATTCTTTGAAAATGGTCTACAACGTGTCGTTTGATCGCGTCATTCGATTCATTTTGACGTCTTTCTTGCTCGTCTCCAATGACGATGATGATGAGAAGCAGTTTTTGGCATCCGTTCGAAGCAAAATCCTTCGATACCAACCAGTTTTGAAAAAATATATAAAGGACAAAACTTCTCAACTGTCTGCCATCGATGGACTCGGCGACTTTGTCATTTCAACCCAAGAAAAGTCTCATCTCATACCCAAACTTCTCTACTGTTTGTACGATGCGAACCTGTTATTAGAAGAAATCATGCTCTCCTGGTTCAACGACGACAAGAGTAACGATAGTCTCGTAACTTTAGCACGTCCTTTTCTCGATTGGCTACAAGAAGAAGAAGAGGATGAAGAAGATGATGAATAACGACCGTTTCGTCATACGTTTATATAAGGTGATAAACAAACCAAATTGGTATTCAATCCATTCCC